CAACCAGTGTTCTTAACTGCTGAGCCATCTCTCCAGACCCATATTTTATTATTTTTTTGAGACAGGATCTCATGTAACCCAGGCTGGCCTCAAATTCACTATGTAACCAAGGATGACCTTGAACTCCTGACCCTCCTGCCTCCACCTTCCGATCACTGGGATTACAGGTGTGTACCACCATGCCTGGTTTATGCAGTGCTAGAGATGGAACCTAGGGCTTCCTGCATGCTAGGTAAGCACTCAGCCAACTGAGCTACATCCCCCAGCTCTGAGGTTTTCTAAGTGGTTCAGTCATTGCCCATGGTTGACTGATTGTCAAATTGCTAACTCAAGGCTCTCCCTGTCCATTGGCCAGAGGCTTCCCTGGATCCAGGAGCCTAGTCATGGCTCCTCTCTAGGGGCTCTTCAACCAAGGCTGGGAAGTACGCATACCGGGGTTCATTTGCCTGCCCTGACTCCTTCCTTTGCCTGAATTGGAGGGTGTACTCTACCCACTTTGGGAGCCACCCATCTTCCCACCTCTCACTCCTGGTGATGATACTTAATCTCTGCCAACTTGACTGTCTGTGATGGATTATCTAGATCAAGTTAATTTAGGTGGGAAGACCCACCCAAACATGGACAGTACCATTCCACAGGTCAGGGTCCTGGACTGAATAAAAAGAAAGCAAGCTGAGCCCCAGATTTCATATCTCTGCTTTCCAACTGTGGATGCAGTGTGACCTCACACTCCTGCTGCCTTCCCAGCATGATGGACTGCATCCTCAAACTGTGAGTCAAAAGGAACCCTTCCGAACCTGAGAAAGAATAGCAGGAGAAAGGTGTTACTAAGGGAGTAATAAGGTGCTAGTTAAGGGGGGGGGAATCCAAGAACTGTGAGAACAAAGCGGAAAAAAATTTCCCGATACACAGTAGAAAAAAATGTCTTAAGCACAGAAGGAGCCCTACGGGATGGAAGAATGCCCTTCCATAAGCCATACAGTTGTTAAATGAAAATCCCAGTACCAGGGGTGGGTTGCCCCCCTATGAGCTCTTGGCCAGAGGGGCTCTAGAGGTCCCCAAGTGGATGGTAAAAGCCTATTGCTGAAAACAACACATGACGTGAGTGCTGGAGAGGGAGAAATCCAAGCCTGGACTAAGCTGGAAACTCCCTGCCACTGGATGGGTGGCTTTCATAGTGCCAGAAGGCGATATGCAGATGGCTGGGGGAGAATTGTCCCTTATAATTCTGCTCAAGGATGGACTGCACTATCAACATGCCAGATGTTCCTGCTGGTGCAATAGTGGTGCATCTAGTGTATGTACAACCAGCACATTTTTGATTGGATATAATGCCCACTCCTAGGGCTGGAGCACACATCTGGTACTGTAGACCAGGCCAACTCCCTGTGGCAGGGGAGAATATAGGCCCCAGTGGGGAAGCCACAGCAATTGTTTTGTTAGATGGATGTGATTCACCTGCTAAAGTACTGTCCAAGCATTTGTGTTTACACCCATAAGTCAAGTTATTATAGCAGTCACTGTTCAGATGTTCTTGCTTCTTGCTGTTTTTGTTTTTACACTAGATGTAAAACCAGGTGCTGGACATCTGGTTAACCCCTGGTGAAGGCAGAGGCTGGATACTGTCTTAGCAGGCCTGTGGTGGTGGTGGCTGGAGCTGCATGGCTGGGCAGCCTCCATTCTGTTCCACTGAAATGGGCCAACAGTCCATAGAAAACAGATGATGCAGAGACCTGGAAGTTCAGTGCCTTGCCACAATGGGAAGATCATCCCACACCTATCATCCCCTTCAAGGCTCAGGGACTTTTTCAGAAGCGGTTGGCAGAAAGGATGTAAGAGGCAGAGGAAGGGGTAGAGGGTTACCTGGGAGTATCCTCCACTAGGCTGGCAAGCTATAGCCACACCTCTTTCCCATGCTTGTCAAGGAGTCCAGGGCAGTCAGTTACCCCTCCCACCTAATCAGTCTACCTTAGCTGCATGTAGGGGAGGGGCTAAGGATATATAAGCCAAGAATGCCATAAGGCACCTCTCTCGCCATTTGTGAAGCTGTCAGGAAGTCACAGGATCTATATTTGAATGTGGACTTTCCAGCACAGCTGTAAATGGGGTGGTGCCCACTCTTCTGTAAGTATCCCCCACCCTATACTGTTAGCAAGCCCAATAAACTCATTAGGATTTTCAAAAATAAACCTTTCCACCCTTAAGTTGCTTTTGTCAGATATTTGCTCAGTGCATTAAGTTACCAATATACCCCTCGACTCAAATTTGTCTCAGCACACAGCCCATAGTCTGTGTCTGGGTTCACAGAAAGATCTGATATGCTTGAACCACAGCAAACTGATGGGGTGGACACAGCAGTTCACTGGCACCAAAGCCCCAGAAAAACCTCAATCCCTCCTGCCCCCACCCCAAAGTGACAAGAAGCAAACAGCCAGTAAATGAGTCCACATTAAGCATTCCTGGGCTAAGGTGGGACAGTCAGTTTTGACACTGTTATGAAAAAATACAGCCTAATTTCTGTTCAAGTGCATCAAATTTACTGCCTAGATTCTCATTAACGACTGTCGAGGGAGAAGCAGATCGACAAGATAAATTATGAAAAAAATTACTTTTTTAATGTACAAAAGACTTATTTACAAGTTGAGTATGTCATCTCAATTCATAGCATGTAGAAAAAAGCTAAAAATGTTTGGCAATATAAATTTGGCCAGACGATTCACCTACAGTATATTCGGGGATGACACCGTCTGCATAAAATATATACAGATGGAGAATGGGAAAGTGTAGGGTCTATTTCAGGCAATAAGCCCACACCACCCCAGAGCCACAGGCCCATGACCATGTCTCATAGCTGTCATTTGGAGTTGGCCTTGTCTCTGGATTGTAAACAGAGGAGCTTGATGTGCTGGGACACAGAGGGTCCAGACTCCACTAAGATACACCCACCAAAGCCAAAGTCTTGGTCCGAAAGAAGCTCTAGGTGATACAGTTTAATTTGGCAAAGTTGCTATAAATTCAAAGAAGAGGTTTCAGATGGGGTGTGTGCATGTGTGTGGCATGTGTTCACTCTGCAGTGTGTTCAGGACTGATTCTTTTTGGAGTCAGTTTCCAAATGCCATTTCTTATGTGGGGCCTGGCCACATGGAATAAGAATTCAGTTAACAGTTCTTGGAGTCCAAGAATCAACCCCTTCGCTCTCCCGCCCTCCCCTAAACACCATGCATGTCATCATTCTATGCCAAATAACCCAGGGAGGGGAGCAGAGGTCAAGGGATCAGAAGATACTAAGACTGCTTGTGGTGGTTTGGCGTAGACTGCTGGCCATTCAGCATGGCCTAAAAGAGCTCTGGAACTTTCCACTTGAGGGTGGTCAGATATTGCATTGGAGAAATAGGACTGGGTAAACATGAGACTTCCTCTTCCTACCGGAAGGCCTCCTTTGCCTCGAGGCCTGGTCCTTCCCTAACCCATAGCAGCCCGAGGTATTTAGAAACAAGTGTTCTTTTCAGGAAGGGCTTCATTGTACATGCAAGAACACTGTAAACAAGTCAGGGGAGCCCCAGGCAGCTTCTGGGTTTGCCCCAGGGGGTACACTGTTTATATCTCCTTTTGATGTGTATTCTTTCTCAGAATACTCCAGGAAATCTGCTGTTTCATTCTGCTTGAGGGAACAGAGATGTTAGATCCATGGAATCTGGAATGGTACTCCACAGTATCCTGGGACAAGGCACTGGTTCCTCTGTAGCAGGCAACCTTGAACAGCTTCATTGAGGAATCCAAGAGTGGTGGAATGGCAAACCCATCTTCCCAGAGCAGACTATCCAGCACAGTCCCAGATTCAAAGCCAAATGTGGCTACCCCGCTCTTTGGGCATATACTTATAAAGCCCTTGGCCAATGTACTCTCTCATTAGCCAAATGACAGAGGCAAAGAAGCCAGAACAGAACAATCCCATAAACACTAAAGCTGGCAAGCATTGTGTAAACGAGTTTCTTTCTGAAAAAGATTTTTTTAGTGTTCAAAAAAAAAAGTCCAAAAAGCAGAGAAGATGCCTCAACCTTTTCTTAAAATGTTTGCAAGTCTGAACCAGCCATTGCCCAAACCCTCTCAGGCCTAGTTAATACTTTTTTGGAAAAAAAAGAACAAATGAGATGCCTGTACTCGAGGAAGCCAAGGCCACTCATATTTGCCCTGTGCCAGGGGCTGGGGACTTTAGGTCATCATATTTAAAAACTTGTTCTCCTCGGCCAGGCTGGTGAGCATGGAGCTCATGTCCCCCACAGCCATGTTGCTGATGCCTGCAGGGATGGAGGGCAGTGTGAGGGAGTTCCGGGGTGTGGTGAGGCGTGAGGAATTCTGGGAGAGGTTGTGGAGGAGGCTGGGGCTGAGCGCACCTGAGAACAAGCTCGAGTGATCACCATCATCCATGATAGCATCAAAGTCGATTTGGGGGGCCTCCAGGAGCTGGGAGTCCACAGTGCTGGACACCTGGTTGACTCCTGGTGAAGGCAGGGGCTGGATACTGTCTGAGCAGGCTTGCGGTGGTGGTGGCTGGAGCTGCATGGCTGGGCAGCCTCCATTCTGTTCATACATGTGGATCTGGCCATAGTAGTAGAGTGTGCTCTGGTCCTGTGCCTGCACTGTATCCCGTGATGTCGGATGAGGCAGGGACACCAAGGTACCTGCTGTCCCCTTGGGCAAAGCCTCTCCTGTCTCCTGGATGGCTGATGTGGTGACCAAAGCTTGGCCAGTGGTCCTAGAATAGGCCAACTGCTGCTGCCCAGCACGCACACTCCGGTGACGACTGGAAGGGCTGGGCTCAAGGGGTGGCCTGGGTTGCATAAGGCCAAAGCCTGTGTTCTGCTGGGACTCCATGAAACTAGGCTGGTGGGATGGTAGGAGGTTGGTACCCTGGTGGTAGCCTTCCTGCTGGGGATAGCTCAGGACTGGGTGAGGAGGAGGTGGTACCCCAGCCAGGGTTGAATTGGGGACCCCTAGCTCACGGTGGTGGTTGCTCATCATGGTGGCATTGGGGACAACTTCCATTTGCTGAGGGAGCCCCAGGTGGCTGGGCTTGGCTGTCATATTGCTACAGGATGAGAACTGGTTCAGGGTTCCACTGACAGTGTTGGGGCTCAGCTGGGGGTGGGCTTGGCTGTAGCTGGCCTGGGGACTCAAGGCAGTTGTTATACTGAGGCACTGGCCACCTGTGGCTGGCTGTCGTTGCTGCTGAATGTGACTTCCTCTGGGTGCAGAGAGGGCTCCGCTCCGGGGCTGCAGATGTGGCTGGGTTCCGTCTAGGCCTCTGGGGCTATCTTGTAGGCCTTGTGGACTGTAGCCCAGATACTGGCCAAAGGCTGGCTTCTGGTGTACCACAGCCAGATTGCCCTGAGGAAAAGGTGGTGGCTTCACTTGGCTGGGTAGGGTATCCATGGTGCCAGAGCTAACCTCATTCCATTGTACCGGCATGTTGTTCTTGTTGGAGTTGGAGGAGGGGATGTAGCTCAGTTGGCAGCCTCCCAGCCCAGGGCCAGGAGGGCCTACATTGGAGTCCGCAGCTGCTAACCTGTGGTGGCCCTGCAGCCCTGGACTGGGCAGTTTAGGGTTCTCTGGGAAGCCAGTGCTTTCTGTGGGATACCCCTGCCTTGTTCTCTCATCCAAAGTGCCACTGGTATGAGCTTTGATGTACTGTACCACATCATCTGGCAGTACCAGGTCATCCTCTGCCAGTCCCAGGTCAGACTCAAGCCCTGTACCATCCACTCCAGCGGCCATGGCCTCCATCACCACGTTCTCACTGATGCTTGGGGGTCGGGGGGAGTAGGTGCTGTGGGTCAGGCTGCCATCCGTGTTTGGCTGGCTGTGTAGACGCAGGCCTCGCCTATCAGTGCAGGGTGGCAGTGGACCTGGGTTCACATTGTGAGTACTATGGAAACGCTGAACTCGAGGCAGTGTGAGAGGGTCAGGTCGCCGCACGGGGTCGCTGGCCCTCCGCACACCACCACCGCCTGGGCCCTCATGTGGGAAGGCAGGAGCCGCCCCCACATAGCCATGGCCATGACCATGGCTATAGGTAGGCCCATCACTGCCACGTCGGGGCCCCAGTGGATGTGGGCAGGCACCAGGCAGTGCACGCTCTGGGGTGTCCAATAGCGCCAGGCGGGTCCGCAAGCTAACCCGCTCCAGGCCTGGCAATGGCGTGGGTGGTGGCCCACCAGTGGCCGCTGCATACTTGGCACGTAGGCTGTATTGCTGGGCAGGTGTGAGGTTGAGTAACCCTGGGCCTCCACCACTACACTGGCTGGCCTCACTGGAACGCCGGGATGCATCAGTGGAGATCGGGTCATAGGAGTCTGCCGAGCTGGCATTGTGTGCACGACCTGCTCCAAGGGGCGACGCTTCACTGGAGCGGCGGCTGGAGAAGTAGGGGGAGATGCCAGAGGAGCGGCGGCTCACAGTGTAGGCTGAGCTCACCGTGCTGGTGGAGCTGTCTCGGCGCTCCTGCAACTGGCTCAGCATGGTCACTTCAGTCAGCTCTGGCAGTCTTGGGTTGGGCAGCAGCCCTGCTGGCCCACTGCCCCCAGTACCATTGAAGCTTTCCAGAACAGAGCCTAGAAAAGAACAGACCCATCAGTTCAGGGAGACAAAGGCTGTGCTCCCACCTCCCCGACCTGACAACCTGGAGCTCTAATACAGGGCCTGGTAGGCAGTAGGCACTCATGAGAGTTTTGAATGAAAGAGGGAACAGAATAGTGAAGAGAAGAAATGGCGGCCTTGCCAAGGGTGAGTGACTGGAGGCCGATGGCCTGAGTTCCAATCTTAGCTACACTGCAAGCTGCTCTCCATTTTCTCCAGCTGTAGATAAAAAACACACCTCCATACTATGGGATTATTGACAGAAGGGGATGTAGACCTCAAGAGGGCCCAGGTCCACAGTTCTTATACCCCCAAAGCTTTTCTGAAATGGAGGAGTTTTTTTTTTTTTTTTAAGTTTAGATTTAGTTCTATGTATATGAGTGTTTTGCTTGCATATATTTAAGTACATGCCTGTGGCGGCCAGAGGAGAGGCTGTGATTCCTGGAACTGGAGTCACAGATGGTTGTTGGCTGCGATGTGGGTGCTGAGAACCAAGCCTGGGTCCTCTGCAAGAACAGCCAGTGCTCTTAGCCACTGAACTATCTCTCCAGCCTTATTTTATTTATTTTTTTTTAAAGGCAGAGTCTTATGTATTGCAGGTTGGGCCTGTAGCCAAGGGTGACCTTGAACTCCTGATCCTCTTGCCTATGCCTGAGTGCTTGGATTTTGGTGCTGAAGTCTGAACAGATGGCTTTGTGCATGCTAGGCAAGCACACTACTAACTGTGCTACATCCCAGCCTTGGTTTTTATTATTTCATTTATGTATTTATTTACGTATTTATGTATGTATGTATGTATTTATGTATGTATGTATGTATGTATGTATTTATTTATTTATTTATTTATCTATTTATTTATTTCTGACAGGGTCTCCCTAGTCCCAGCAGGCTTGAAAATCACTATATGGACCAGGCTAACCTTGATCTCCCAGAGATCCTCCTGCCCCTGCCTCCTTAGGGCTAGGGTTAAAGGCATGACACCACGTTATGTTTATTTTTTGAGATAAGGTCTCTGTTGCCCAAGCTAGTCTTATACCCCTAAGCCTGAGGGATTCTCCCACCTGTGCCTCCCTCCTAGCTGGGACTACTGATGGGTTACATACAGGTAGTGCTCTAGGATCTATACCTGTGGAAGGGCAGAAAGGCTGAGGCCTAGGCAGAAGTGAGCCCAGGCAGACCTCAGGGGTCCCGACCTCCCACAACCTCCAGGGTTGGGCCAAGATGGGTATATGCAGGAAATGGTGGCCTTAGAGGAGGTAACCATCTGGAACCCAAGAGGTCCCAGGTGGGCTGAGTTCAAGGCCCTCTGCCAACAGACTCTCTAACAGTGGTGGTAACATCAGTCCTTCAAACAGGGCTGGGTGGGTGGTGTGTCACTGTCCACCACCATGGAGGGCAGCCTGGGATCTAAGTGCCCAGTGGCACTCTGGAGACTCTCTCAGAGGTGCTTTCTGTCACCAAGCTCTGGCAGAACACAGGCCTGCCTCCTCCATGAGGCCTTCCTGTCCTTTCCCAGCAGGAGGTGCTTCCTCCTTTCTGGGCACAGCAGTTCCCCAGCTCTGTCTTTGGTGCTATGTGGCTGGCTTGGAATTTCATGGAGATTGTACTGCTCCCCTTCCCTGAGCCTTTACCATGGCACTCACTGCGTGTGTTCACTAATGTGGAATGGCTGAATAAGGAAGGCGCTTTGAGCAGAGTCTGCCTGTCTTTAGAGGGTTACAGCAGCACCTTGCATGGAGAATAGCGCACATTTTGGAGATGCACAGAGCTGAGCTAAGTCCCCTTGCTGCATGGGTTTTGGGTAGGGCACTTGCGCTTCTCTGGGTCTCAGTGTCCTTCTCCATGCAATGCACTGGTAGGTAGAGGCAAGCACATGGAGGGAAAGTTTATCAGTCTGGGCTTCACTGGCTTGTGCTAGACATACACCTTTCCCAACAATACGCTTCTCAACTTGGAACTCCCATCTCTATCCATACCCCTCTCCAAAATAACTTGTTCACTTTGACCTATAGCTCCCTAGGAAACCTTAATAACTTCCTCTTTAGTGACCAAATACATCCTGAAATACATCCTGCAACTAAATGAAATAGGCCAATCCAACCTGAACTGGTTTGGGTGTGTGGAAAACAAGGTAAACTATGATTTCTGAGTGAGCTTTTATGGAAAACCCTCCATTTATCATATTATACCTATGCATGATTGGGCATACATATAGTTACAACCAGAGGCTTCATGGGAAAGAACATACACAGTGAACTAAGGCCTATATAACCCAAGCCTGTCAATCAAAACCAAAAGACCACCTACACCATCCCCAGCTCTCTTCCTCTGGGACTCACAAAAGAAAGTCCTGGCAATAACCGGGAGCTCTTGCACTCCAGAACTGCTCTGTACCTTTGCTTTACTCCTGAATGAAACCTCTCTCCTACTTTGCTATCATGTGAACCTCTTCAATTCTTTGAACAAGACATCAAGAACCTAGAACCATTTGGTCTGTCCCTTTGTGGGCAGCCAGTCAGACTGCACATGGAGTTTGGAGGAACTGACCTAGCTGGTACAGTCCCAGGCTCTCTCCCACCCTGGCTGGCAAGCCCTGGGCTTTACTCACCATTTGCTGGGAGGGGAGGCAGCTTGGTGTTGCGGGTATGTGGGGCTGGGCCGGCCCATGAGCAGGAATCCTTGAGCGACTTGAGCTTCTCCCTCTTGAGCTGCTCAAAGCGATGCATGGTGGTCATGTGTTTGCGCAGCTGCAGGCCACCAGTGGAGGGGGTGGCCAGGGCTGAGGTGTCGGCCCCTGGGGATGTGTCATCCAGCGCCGTCAGGTCTCCCAGGCTCCCAGGCCCCGTCCCTGGCATCTCCACGCCACTGTCATTGTTGGGGGCACTGCCCAGGGGAGAGGGCTCGCTGCTGCAGGATGACTGGGCCCCGGGGCTGGACTGACACAGCTGTAGGATGAGGTGGAAGAAGCAGGTTCAGAGGGCAGGAGAAGGCACCTAGTCCTGTGACCACTCCACATCCCTATCATGCTTGGGCAGGGGACATGAGGAAGTTACTTAGAAGACCTCGAAACCCATTGTTTGTCTACCTGCATGAGATGGTTAAGTCTAACCTTGGCCTTCTTTCCCAACTATTAGATGGGAACTACCTTGCATGCCCTCACCATGTGCAAGGATTTATCCTACTGGGAGTAGAAGGTTCCAAGTTCAGCCTGAAATCAAGTATTCATTCTCAATACCACTGATGTTCTCACAAAGAATTGAGGCAGAAAAAACACCTGTTGACCCATTGACCAACTGCCCTCTACTGCATGGGGTGCTCTCAATAGGCCAGGGGCAGGTGGTTTAAAAGGGTGCCAGGAGCTGGGGCAGTGGGAGGTAGCCATTGCCTGCATGGTCATCCCAAACCTGTGGTGCTGCTTAGTTTTTTTTTTTTTTGTTGTTGTTGTTGTTGTTGTTATTGTTGTTGTTTTGAGACAGGGTCTCCCTGTAGCCTCAGCTGACCTGGAACTCACTATGTAGACCAGGCTGGCCTTGATCTCACAGAGCTCCTACTGCTTCTGCCTCCTGAGTGCTGAGTGCTGGGATTAAAGGTATGCATCACCATGCCTGGCCCTGTCCTGGTTAGTTTTAAATGTCAACTTGACACAACCTAGAATCACCTGGGAAGAGACTCTTAAGGAATTATCTAGATCAGACTGGCTTGTGGGCATGTCTGTGGAGAACTGTCTTGACTGTTAATTGATATAGGAAGACCCACCCTAAACATGGTGGCACCATTTCATAAGCTGGGCCCTGAACTGTGTAAAAGAGTGAAGAAAGCTGGCTGAGCATAAGCAGCAAGCCAGCAAGGATACATATACATATACATATACATATACATATACTTTTCTGCTCTTTACTGTGGATGAAATGTTACTGGCTGCTTGAGTTCCTGCACTGATTTCCCCTGAATGATGGACAGTAACCTGGAAGTGTAAACCAAATAAACCATTTCCTCTCCTATGTTGCTAGGTGTCTGGGTTGTTATCATAGCAACAGAAATGAAATTAGAACACTGGCCCTTCTCTGGGCTGGAGTGGAGCAGGGCAAATAAATCAGTGGCACAGAACTTGCTGTATCAAGTGCGGCCTGGGATCTGGGTCCAGATGAGGAGCACTCTGTGCCTCAAGGCTCACTTCTGGGCCAAATGACTTGCCATGCTCTGGTCTTTTCTCTAGGGGGATGCAATACCACATACCCTGAGTTTAAGGGAGCAAGCAGGACTTTTCAGGTCTTGCTCATGGTGCCTCCCCTACTCTTCTGTTTGGTTTAGCCTGGACTAACACTTGTCCTGCCTTGCTATGGTATGGTCCCTATTGCTCCCTACACTTGCTGGCCTCACTCTTGCTGCCCACCCCTACCTATTCCCATGATGCCACCTGCAGTGCCTCCAAAGGCCAGCTCAATCTCTGCCCAGTTAGGGACACCGAAAGAGCACCCCAGCCCACCCTCTCACCCTGACCATTCCCACCACCACCCCATTCCTCTGCTCACCTCAGTAGCGTCTATCCTTAGGGGAGGTACAGTTGGGAAAAAGAGGTGGAGACAAAGAACAGGTGGTTAGAATGAAAAGAGCAGAAGCTAGAGGGGGGAGGACATAGACAGGGACAGAGGGGACCCACAGTGGCATTGGGGTACAGTCTGGAGAGGTAAACACATCTCGTGCAGACCAACATGGGGAAAGGGCAACCCCAGCCTGTTATCCAGCAGGAGCTGAGTCAGAGAAGGGGTCCTGGACAAGACAGGTTCCATGAGGGGTACAAGGTGATAAAGAAGTAAAGCTGGACTGGACATCATCTCTCCTGAGAAGGGGTACTCCAGCAGAGCCCTCAGAGACATCACCTCTCCCTGAGAAGGGGTACCCTAGCTGAGCCCTCAGAGGACATCACCTCTCCCTGAGAAGGGGTATCCTAGCTGAGCCCTCAGAGGACATCATCTTTCCCTGAAAAGGGGTACCCTAGCTGAGCCCTCAGAGACATCACCTCTCCCTGAGAAGGGGTACTCCAGCAGAGCCCTCAGAGACATCACCTCTCCCTGAGAAGGGGTACTCCAGCAGAGCCCTCAGAGACATCACCTCTCCCTGAGAAGGGGTACCCTAGCTGAGCCCTCAGAGGACATCACCTCTCCCTGAGAAGGGGTATCCCAGCAGAGCCCCCAGAGGACATCATCTCTCCTGAGAAGGGGTACCTCAGCAGAGCCCTCAGAGGGGGCTGGACTTTCAGGCCATATGCAGAGTTGGGGAATTGCCCCCAGGCAGCTGTCTATTCCAGAGCACTCCCTGTCTTACCCTGGAGGACCCTCTTATCCTGAAACTCTGTCTGTCTTACCCTAGAGGTCTCTGTCTTACCCTGGAGCTTTTCTGTCTACCCCAGAGCTCTCTCTGTCTCAGAGCTCTCTATATCTTACCCTGGACCTATTCTGTCTACCCCAGAGCTCTCTTTGTCTACCCCAGAGCTCTATCTCAGAGCCCTCTACGCCTTACCCTGGAGCTATTCTGTCTACCCTAGAGTGCTCTCTCTCTTACCCCAGAGCTCTCTGTTTTGATGGCTTTGATGTGCAAGCAGTCTTCCATGGTGTGGCTGGTGCTACTGGCCTCGGCACTATCCTCGGATCCCCGACCACCTGGCTCAGCACTGGCCTCATTGTCCCCATTCTCCTTGAGCAGTGAGGTGCGGAGGTGCACATCATTGCGTTGCTTCTTGGTGACGTGAGCATCTGGCCCATGAACAGTCTTCACATGCTTTCGGAGAGAGCTGGGGTCTGTGTACCTCTTGGTGCAGCCTGGAATCTTACAGATGTAGGGTTTCTGGGAAGAGAACCAGACCTGGGTTATGGATGGGAACCCAAGGAAAAACTCTGAATGGGTGCACTCCTTGTCCTGAAGCCATCATCCCATGTTCCCTAGAAGCCTGGTTGACACAGTGGGTAGGTGCTCTATTGCATTTACACCCCAGATAGGAGCCTGGTCCTCCAATATGCCTTATATGCCACCCTTGTATACAGATAAACTGCATGGTCAAAGAGCTCTTGCCATAAAAGCTGGTGACATGGACCAGAAACAGCATGGGAGGGACCCACATGTGCCCTGTGAATCAGTCACTGGGATCTCAATTTGACCTTCATGTCTCTGCTGAAAATAGACAGGAGCATGAAAACTTATGTCACCTGGCTGTGGGTATACACACAGGCCAGAGAAGCTCGATCCTGGGCTCATACACAATCACATCCACACACCACCACATGCCTATATCAAACCCTGCACATATCTTCACATACACACATATAGCACGCACATGCACACATATATACATCACCCTCACTCATCTATACATATGTGGATACATCTACAAACCCACACTTGGTCACACATACACTCCATATGTGCCAATCCTCCCATCTATACACATACAAATACACAGCACACATATGAAGACCCCCACATCCATGTATACCATGCTCCTATATCTATACATATGCATAAAATACTTACACAACCCCACACATATACACACATACATACATGCACACACATATATCACCCTCACTCATATGCACAAACAGGTATATTTATAAACACATACACACTTGTATATATACTATGTATATGCCAATCCTCCCATCTATGCACATATAAATATATTCTATACTCCCACATCTATAATGTCCATACAAATACACATATGTCCCCACAACAGCTATATGCATATGTGTACATATATACATACCTACTCCTCTCCCAGGCTCAATCTGGTCTGGAGGGACCCCAGAGGGCCCAGAGGCCTTGGTAACCCCTGTAACTTCTAACAAACACAGAAGCAAGGTCCCTTTGGGGCTCACATTGCTTCTTAAGTTATGTTAGAAATGCTCTCTCTGAGCTACAGATTGTTCGACTGGGCTGGGATTGGGGGGCTACTGCCATTTTCTCTTCCTGGCTCTCTAGGGCCTGCCAGGAGCTCTGACTAACTTGCTTCCAGTCCATCAACAGGGGATTGAAGGCACCATGAAGTCTAGGCAGCACTAGTGGCTGGAACAGGTCACTAACAGCCGCTGAGCTTCAGGAGCACAGGCTACTGCAGGTGCAGACAGCATTAAAGCAGCTGCTTTGCAGGGGACACACAGCAATGGCCTAGGATGGTTTCACGGCTGCAGAGGGGCCAGCAGTCCTGGCTCTAGACCTGTGACACAACTGAAGGGATTCCCTTCATCTCTCTGAGTGTCAATTTGCTCATCTGCACTAGGGCAGCAGAATCCACACTGTGGCCAGAGGGACAGGGAGCAGAATGTGTCTCATGACATGCCAGGAACTTGGAAATCAGAATGTCTACTCTGTGTGAGTGCATGAGTGAGTGTGCATGTGTGTAGTGCAAGTGTGTGTTGTTCCTTAGGTACCATTCACCTTGTTTCTTGAGACAGAGTCTCTTATGGACCTGGAACTCACCAAGTAGGCTAGTTTGGCTGGCTGGCAAGGGTAGCTGGCCAGCAAGCCACAGGCCTGTCTCTGCCTCCCTATGGCTAAGATTACAAGTATGTACTACTCTGCCCAGATTTAAGGTCTCTGTGCTTTGACTTCAGCTTCTGTGGATTTCATGATGACATCTGTATTTATAAGAGACCCAGCCCACTGTGGGGGCCACCATTCCCTAGGCAAGGGGTCCTGAACTGTGTAAGAGTGGAGAAACTGAGCTGAGCACAAGCAAGTGTACATGCATGCATTCATTTTCTTCCTGCTCTTGACTATGGATGTGATATGGTCAGCTGTTTCAAATTCCTGCTGTCTTGACGTCTTTGTACTAATAGATTATAACTTGGAACTGTAAGCTAAGTCTTTTCTCTCCTAAATTGCTTTTTGTGAGGATATTTAATGAAACTAAAACAGAACCCATGTATATATCTCTTTGTATGCCCAGCCCCAGGTACCTCATTGGAGTGGGTACGGTTCTGGTGCTTGGCACGGTCTGAGGCGTTGGAGAAGGCCTTGTTGCAACCCTCATGCTCACACACGTACGGCTTCTCCCCTGTGTGGGACCGAAGGTGCGTCTTCAGGTTCTCCAGGCGAGAATAAGCCTTTGAGCAGCCCTCAAACTGGAAAGAGGTACATTGGTCAGAAAGGGTGCCCTGATCCAACTCAGGTGGCTAGACCCAGGGGCCTGCCTACTACCCTGCCCTCTCCCATAGTGCTCTACCCCACAGCATGGATTTTACTTACAATAGTTGCTTTGTCCTCTAGAAAACTTTGAAAGGACTTACAAGTATAAAACTATAACTCAAGTGTATCAAAGAGCTGTACTGTAGAAAATCTATGTGTATACATGCATATGTGTGATGTTTATATAAATAAAAGCATACATTTATAAGCTGTCCAATTCTTTGCCATTTTACACTCCTGTCAGCAATAAGTGAGGGTTCAGATTTCTCCACACCCTAACTCTTGGGATTAAATGTCTTTTTTTTTTTTTTTTTGAAACAGGATCTCCCTCAGTCTCACAGAGATTCAGCTTGCCTCTGCCCCCGAGTGCTGGGATTAAATGCATGTGCCACCATGTCCAGCTTTGTTTTGTTTTTAAGACAAGGTCTCATATATAGCTCCATGTAGCTAAAAATGAGCTTGAATTTCTCTTACCTCCACCACCCAAGTGCTGGGTTACAGGCATGCACCAACCACTACACTTGGTTTATGTGGGGCTAGGGATGGAACCTAAGGGTTCACATATGCTAGGCAAGCATTCTATCAAATGAGTTAGATCCCCTGCCCTGTCAAACTCTTAGCAGAAAACAAGAAAGGGGGACAAATCTTCGTGACCTCGGGTTAAGCAATAATTACTTAGATATACAACAGCTCAAAATTAGATCTCACCAAATTTGCTTCAAAGGAAATTATCAAGAAAATGAAGACAACACACAGAATGGGAGAAGTATTTGCAAACTATATGCTTGATAATGATCTAGAACATAGTTACATAAAGAATTCTTCCAAATGATGGGACTGGAGAGATGGCTTGGCAGTTAAGAACATTTGCTGTTCTTCCAGAGAACCTGGGTTTGATTCCCAGAACCCACATGGTGGCTAACAACCATCCGTAACTCCAGTTCCAGGGGATCTGATACCCTCTTCTGTCCTCTGCAGGGCATTGCATGACATGGGTGCACTTATGTACAAGCAGGCAATACACTTATATCATAAAATAAAAAGAACAAATAAAATAGGTTAAAAAATAAATCTTCCAAATGAACAACAAAATGGCAAGTAACCCACACAAAAGTGAACAAAGGGTTTCCAGCAGACAGTTCTCTAAGGAAGATATGCAAATAGAGGCTGGTGAGATGGCTCAGGAGGTATAGGATGCAGCCAAGCCTGCCGACCTGAATTCCAAACCTGGAACCCATATAATAGAACAGACTCATGCAAGTTGTTTGCTGACCTCTACACATATACCAACCTCCGCCACATAAATAAGTGTAATAAAAAATAATTTAAAAAATATGTAGAGTTAGCCAGTTCAATACCATTTGTCACTAGAAAACACTAATGAAAACCACGCTGAGCTGGGAGTGCGGGGCCTGGTCCTGGATTTGGTGGGAAGGGCTCCACAGTGGGAGGTGGCTCACCGTGCACTTGTGTGGCTTCTCACCCGTGTGCCTGCGCATGTGGACCACCAGCATGTACTGGGCCTTGAATGGCTTCTGCTCGCGTGTGCAGGCCTGCCAGCGGCACACGAACTCCTTCTTCTCTCCATGGATGTGCTCGTTGTTGATATGCTGAGGGGGTTGAGGCAAGAAGGGAGTGTTCAGGCACTGCTGCAGAGAGCAGAGCTCCCTCTCTACCCCGATGGACTTATCTCTTGTGTATGGAGCCACTTGATCAGCAGGCAACCTCCTACCCAAAGCTGACCATCACCACATCCCATGATAGACCACTTGCCCCAGTAAAGATCACTGCAGTGACCCTCACCCCTTCTCTCTTTATGTGTAGTTGCATGTTCCTGTATGTGAGTGCATGGTGTGTATGTGGAGGTCAGAAAACAACCTTGGGTGTAAGTCTTCACCTCCTTCTACCTTGTTTGAGACAGGGGTTTCTTGTTTGCTGCTGCATACCCAGGCTAGTTGGCCTGTGAGTTTCTGGGGGGTTCTCCTGTCTCCATCTCCCACATTACTGTAGGAACACACTGAGATATAAACATGTGCTACCATGCCTGGTACTCATGTTTTCCCAGCAAGCACTTTTACCCAGAGCCCTCAAGGGCCACTCTTAACTGTCATCCTGGGAGACTAGAGAACACTTGCCCTAGGGTGGGTCTGTGAGGGCATTTTCAGTGACAGTTACATTACAAATGTTCTGACCTGATCTCTCTATTGATCCTTTGATGGATCCACAGGATGAGGACAGTGGTGGGAGGAAGTAGGGACTTGCTGAAGGAAGTAGGTCACTGAGGATGTATTCTTGGGGCTGCTCTGGCCTCTTTGCTTCCTATCTACCATGTGTAAACAGCTCTGCTCAACATGAAGGGCCACGGCCAAGCAAATGGAGCCAAGCAACCATGGACTGAACCACTTAAACTGTGAGCCAAAATCTAGCCTTCCTCACTGAAGTTGTTTCTGTCAATAGTTGGTCACAGCTACTCAAAAGTAACTAACACACCATTTATCCCACTGACCTCTCTAAGGCAGCATAGGAATACAGGGAAAATTGGTGTGACATGGGAAGGGAAAGGAACCTCTCCCTCTGGAGTACGGAGGAAGCCTCTCACTGGCTGAGAGTCAGGAATTCCAACACAACTAACAACTGGTATGAAGGCTGTGATGTGGAGACAATGTTTTCTAATAAAAATGTTAAACTATGCTAAGTTGACCGTGTATGACCTTACTCCTTTCCTAGGTATTTTCTGGAAATCTCATGCGACCATTAGCTTTTGTTGGCAATGGAAATATCTGAACTTCCTGTGCAATCCCTGTGAACCAGGGTGTTACCTATCAGTCATAATCCTGTCAGTTAACGGCTGGAACCACCCTATGATCTCACTTAGGTTCCTTAGCAACTGTGCTGGTCAGTGGTAATTATCAACTCTAGAACCACCTGGGAGCTGGGCTCTGGGCATGCTTGTGGGGAGTATCTTGATTGCATTAATTGAGGCAGGAAGACCCACCCACTGTGGGTAGGGCCGTTTCCTGGCTGGGATTCTAGACTATAAATGGAGAAAGGGACCAGCAGCATGCCTTCATTCCTCTGTTTCCTCAGTGAATGCCATGTGACCAGCTGCTTCAAGCTCCTCCTGCCTTGACTTCCCCACCAGGACAGACTGTGAGCCAAAACAAACTTTTCGTTCCTTAAGTTGATTTTGTCAGAGCATTTATCACAGCAACAGAACAGTAACTGAGACAGCAACTCTTTGAGATGTAACTTCGAAAGCCACCAAAATTCTATTTGAGGCTGCTTGAGTGAGTCTCCCTCGAGAGGCCCACACTCACACTCAGGTACGTCTTTATCCTTTCCCTGGATGCTTCTCTTTCTATTAACCCCATGCTCAAATCTATGTTAAATTATTTTCTTAATAAACTGCAATCTTGAGGCCAACAGACGGCTCAGTGGGTAAAGGTGATGCTGCCAAATTCAGTTTCTGGGCCCCATATGGTGGAAGGAGAGAACTGACTCCCAGAAGTTGCCCTCTGATCTCTGCATGTGTGCTGTGGCACATGTGCACACATAAACACATACACACTAGATAAATGTAATTTAAAAATTAAAACAAATAAAATAAGCTCCAACTTCACTTATCAACTCATCCTGAAATTCTTTTCTGTAGTGAAGTCAAGAATTTGGGCTTCACTTGAGTGGAGAACTCTGAAAAGGATTCCTTAGGCTACTGCAGTGTGCAGTGTGCAGTGTGGAGTTGTCTCTCGGCCCTCTGTGCAGACACCCCACTCTTCATGTGCAGACCGTTCTCATCTAGTGTGTAGACCACCCAAATGACCTGTGTGAGCCACCATCATGCCTCCTCACAATTCTCAGCTGCACTTACTGGAAGCTCTATTAGTGTGCTCTTTACTCCACCTGTACTTTCCAACTGACTCTATGACTGTTTGATGGTTAAGGGCTTGGGATGTAGCTCATTGGTAGAATGCTTATCAGCATGCCTAAGACTTTGGGTTCAATCCCCAGTGACACAAACACACTATGTGTGTGGTACATGAATGTGTACATGTTCGTGTGTGCAGGTATGCATGGGGGGACACAGGTCAACATCAGGTATCTTCTATTGTTCTCTACCTTTTCTTGAGACGGGATCTCTCTGAACCTGGGTTCATTGATTCAGCTAGACTAGCTGGTCAGTGAGCACCAGGGACCCTTCAGGACTATAGATATATGCCACCATATTTGGCTTTTTATGTGGGTGCTGAGGATCAGAACTCAGGTCCCTCTGCTTGGACCTGACTGAGCCATCTCCTGGGTTACTTCCCTAAGTTACTGACGGTCAAAGGCATCCCACTTACCCTAGGCTAAGCTCAGGGCTCTGGTCTGTGGGAACATGGTGCTTATGGTTATATTCCTGGGTTGCAAGATATAGGTACTTATGTATAATGAAGCAGACATATTGATAGTCCTGTTTCAGAGATGCTTAAAGGAGATGTTCTATCCATGGGAAATAGTGCCTCATCAGCTCCATTTTCAGCACCCGTGGAATGCTGACTTTTAAAAAAAAAAAAAAAACAAAAAAACAAAAAACAAAGGCTACAGAACCCAGAGGCCTGCTTGGGGCACTGGCAGTGAGGGTAGCTACAGATAGATCCTGACCCTGGCTGTGAGTTCTGGACATGGTGCCAGGTTGGCCCTGGAACTAAACAGCCCAAATGAGTGAGGAAGGTCAACCAAGGACATAGCAACTAACTGCTATATGGTTGTTGCACTTATTTCTTTATATTCTTTTTCCAAGGTGTTCCCAGGAAATGTAAAACTGCAAGCTGCAGTCTCTTTCTGGACGGAGACATTTGCGATCTACAAAGCTGTCCTGGGAGTTGAATGTCAGGCTCCAGCAGCACCTTGTCCTAGAAGACAAAATGCTGCTGGCCTGATGCCCTGGGCAGCCCATCCAACTGTCATGCACAGACACCACCACCTTGAAAGCAAGTAAAACCAGCAGTGCTTTGAACTTCCAGAGAAATCACCCATCAACTTCCCTTTCCATTCATAAAGCCTTTCAAATGAGAAAAATGCTTCCTGACAACGCCTTTCATTTTTTTCTCATTGGTTTACTTAGAGACAAATTGTTAATAATGGACGGGGGCTCTGGCTCACCATCCATCTTTCCAGAGAGCAGAGGCAACACGAGGCAGAGGCATGTCCTCCTTACAGAGCAGCCTACTCTTTCCAGGGCCAGGTAGAGGTGACCCCTTAGCATCATAGAGAACAGACCCAGAGCTGGAGCTGCAATCCTTCCCAGATCAAGACAGGGCTCGAACTAAGGAATTCTCTGTCTGCTGGGTGTCCCCATCTAGGTATTATGATCCACCCCCCTCCTCTAGTTGTCCAGAGAACAACCTTGGCTGTCACTCTTCAGGTGCCTCCCACATTGTTTTATAAGACAGGGTCTTTCAGCTGGCCCGGAACTCATCAGGTAGGCTGGCTGACTGGCTAGTGAGCTGCAGGGAGTCACCTGTCTCTGTTGCTCCAGTGCTAGGATTACAAGCTTCTGCCACCATATTCAGCATTTTTTTTAATGAAGGTTTGTTCTTGGGGATTGAACCCAGGTCCTCCCAGCACTTTGCCAACCCAACTGAGGTATCTCACTAGCCTTTGAGCACATCTTTTTACAATGTCATGTCTGTACTTTTGCTTGAGCCCACCCCCAGCCCAAGTGATACCTGCACTTCTTTGACCTAACTGCAACCCACAACTCCAATCACCCCCTTGTCTCTAGCTTATTAATCCAAAGACACTGAAAATGGAGGTTCAAGTTCTGAAAGCTAACTTGATATGCACGTGGACTGCAGCACAGAGCACATGGCACTGTTAACTGCTCTCCTTGAGGCTCTTCTCCATTGCTCTTTCCACTCTCTCACCTCCAGATTTTCTTCTACACTCATGTACTGCCTATGTGTTTGGGAGTCTCCAGGGTACCCAGTCCCATACGCCCACTTGCAAGGGATAGAGCCCCTTCTTTGCAGCACAAGCCTTAGAGTTTCCAGGTCCTGTGGCTGGGGTTCTGCATCCCCAGGCAGGAGCTGAGGGAGGAGGCTTACATGCACCAGCTGCTCCTGCGTGTCATATTCCTTGGTGCAGTCTGCCCAGTGGCAGTTAGTCTCGTAGATGACCACCTCAGCCTCCTGCTTACAGTCATCCCTATCCAGGTCTTCCTTGAGGTCAGCCAGCTGCTCCTAGGAGAAGAGAAGACCACACCCACATGAGCCAGGTCTGGCTATCTGGCCCCAAAGATAGGGTGCGATTAACTCCCAGGATTTATACCACAGACCCTGGGCTGGCAGGAGTGTGGACATACATGCACACATATGTATGCACATAACATATGCATGCACATGTATATGCACAGCACACACACAATGTATGCATACATGTGTACACACACAGCATGTGCACATACACTATCATATTCACCAGCCTCTCTGTTGCTTTCCTCTCCGCGGCCTCCTGAAACCATTTGTCCCATGCAGCTGTCCCTGGCTCTTCCTGTTCTCTAACACTGGCTGGTCATCACGGAAGGATTCTATCCCAGTGTACCCTGCACACCTGACTCACAGGCAGGCAGGGGAAAGGAGGACCCTGGCTTCTGCTTCTGTGACTTGGTTTCCCCAAGGGGAGCTGGGGTGAGCCCTGCAGTCATCAGAGATGGGAACATTGTTATGTTGGGTCCCCTCCTGCCTGGTGGAGAAACCCCTCACGCCCTTGACCCTTCAAATGATTCCTTTCATTGTTTCCTCTTCTTCACGGGCATGTGGGAACTCAGCTCACACCAGCATAGGGCCACTGCTCTGCAGAGAATGCACAACCATAGGCTGTCAGACACATTTTCTTACCACAGTACCGAACATGGTGTCTTTGTTCCTGTATCAAAGCGAGGAAAACTGAGGCTCAGGGAAAAGTGAACTCTCACCACTCCACAACACACATTGGGTTTGGGGCAGCCTAGATCTGGACGTGACTCTGTCCTGATTCTCAATGTGACACAGCTTAGAGTCACCCCGGAAGGGAATCTCTATTGAAGGATTGCCTATATCAGACTGGCCTGTGGCCATGTCTGTGAGCAGGGGGATTGTTTTGATTGTTAATTATGTAGAAGGGCCCAGTCCACTGTGGGTGGCACCAGTCCCTAAGCTGGTATTCGTGGGCTGTGTAAGCAAGCTAGCTGATTATGAGCTAGCAGGCAGTGTTCCTCCATGGTTTCTGCTTAAGTTCCTGCTTGAGTTCCTGCCCTGACCTCCCTCAAGGATGGACTGGAAGTATAAGCCAAAAAGACTCTTTTCTTCCCTAAGTTTCTTTTAGTCAGAGTGTTTCATCATAGCAACAGCATAAAACTAGAACAGACTCTCAACCATGTTATAGTTTTAAGGACATTTCAAGGATCTAAAGGAAAAGCCCCAGGTGGGGGCCAGAGACAGGTAGAGGTGCTTCAACCTGGGAGGCAAGGTTTAGAGAGGGCCTGCGAAGCCTGCTGAGGGCAGCCCAGTGTTCCACTGATCTGCCAGGTATGCTAGGAACCAAGCCAAGGCCAGAGTTGAAGTTACCAAGACTTGCTTTACAGTTCAACCTATTTTCACAACCAGCAAGAGGAACATGTTCTATCTCTCCAAGGCTCAAGAGTGCTGGCCTAGCATGCACAAGGCCATGAGCTTAACTATCAGCACTGCAAAATGAAGAAAATAAACAGAACAAAAAGCACCTTGAGAAAGAAGAACAGTGAAGGCTAGCAGGGATAAGCTCGTGTCATGTTTAATAACCATAGTGCCCACTGGCACTGTAACTTAGCAACAATGGTCCATTTCAGGAGTGCAGGACTTCCTGTGGTGAGCCACAGACACAGGCCATCACTGAAGGGTGCCACTCCCTAGCTGCACTGAGCTGATCAGCGCACGTGTGTGTGTGTGTGTGTGTGTGTAGATATGTGTGCCACAGCATATGTATGAGGTCAGAGGCCAACTAACAGGAATCAGTTCTCT